TTTTTTTTTTTTTTTTTTTTTTTTTTGGCAGATCCTTCTAGCTAAACAAATTAAAAGTGGCCGTCAAAACTGGCAAGAAACACCCCTTTAAAATTTCAGCTTCCTAGCAGCTCAGGTTCCCGAGTTATGAATTTGCGCGGGAAATTTTTGGGGCCCGTATGCGGGCACCGCGCTTACCCGGGGTTGGGTTTGGGCTCATTGGTACCTACTTGGACGGGGGACATTCCCATAAAATTTCAGCTTTCTAGCTTTTCAAGTTCGCGAGTTAGCAGCTTACCCGTAAAAAACTTTGGCGGGATCTTACGTGGGTACCACGCGGAAATGACCGCCCATTTTGAGGATGGGGGCCCGTACGTGCATGTAGATGAAGTCCCTAAAGTTTCAGCCCCGTAGTTTTTGCCGGTCTCGAGATGAAAAATCGGTACAGAGGCCTAGCGCACACACAGACACACACACACAACACACACATACACACAGACAACCTCTCGTCAATTTCGTTTTTCGCATTGCATTGCTGCAAAAAAACGCATTAAAAAAACGAAGTAAGAAAGGGAAAGGGAAGTATGGAAGTATTTGTAATAGGTAAGAATTGTTTCGGTCCATTAAGTCGTATACATTTCTTACCGTTACGATAATTGGACCTCGTCAGTACGACGATTGTGGTAACAAAATAATTTGGATAGTTTAATGTAGAATAGAAATTATTAAGATAAAAATAGACAAGAAAAAGAAGAAATAGAAGACGGAAAGTGAAGAAATGGAAGAAAGGGAAAAGTTATAAAATTATACTGCTGAAAACGAATGGAAGGGAAAATTAAAAATTATAAAATTATTATAGGGAAAAATTATAAAATTATACCTGCTCAGTATTTGTTGGATTCATGATACCGCCATTGTTACCAAACCTTCCGGTGCTTTTTCCACAGATAACATTGAATTTTATTGGTTTAGCAAATTTTGACCCTAATACTTGTTGGCTTTTGATTTTCATTCATATATTCAAATGAAAACACTTCACGGCCAGTTCTCTCTCATGCGTTTGTATGTATGTACTTATGTTTGGGTGTGTGTTTATTTGGATGCATTTGCGTTTGGTATGTGTAGTTGTACTTGTTTGTGCTTGAATTTGTATGTGTGTGTTTGTGCGTGGTGTACTTGAGTGTGTTTGTGTGTGTGTTAGTATGTTCATGAATGGGTGTGTTTGTGTGTGTGTGTGTGTGTGTGTGTGTGTGTGTATGTCTGTGCGTCTGGTTTATTTATGTGTGTGTTTGTCCGGGTAATTTAGCGCCAAAAGTCACAGCAACCAGGAAGCTTAAATTGACGGGATATGGGCCGATCGTCAGCTAGACGCAGACCTCATATCAACTGGCTTTTTGACCCCGCTGACTTACTATCTAAATTCCGGTTTATCTTGTAAGTGCAACCAAAGAAGAGAGAAACTAGAAATTTGAAATTTCGAGTTGTTATTTAAACGGCTTGGCAGTGATTTTTTTCAAATGCTACTGTTTGTTAGTTTCTTATAACATCCTCGAATGAGCTGCTGAAGTTATCAGAACTGCAGATTAGCACGCCTTGCCTGTGTTTGTTTAACACTGCTTGGCTATCGCTGGGAAGTTTGCTTTGTCCACTGGCGCAAGACATTTGTTGATATGATAATTATGAGTGTGACTGTATACATGTGTATATATATACACTTCCTACGTAATTGAGGCACATTTATCTTCCATTACCCTTTGTACATATATCAACGCCACAACTGTGGTACTGAAATGGTCTAGTTGTGGTGCTGAATAGGAATGTATACGAATTAGTGGTCCGTCTGATTATTTTTTAGTATAGTTTTTACATTTTATTTTATGTATAGAGACATTAATTATGTATATAAAATACATATGATGTAAAATTATATTAAAAAATTGTATGAGCAGGAATATTTTGGTCTATTTTGGTCCAGCAGGAATATTTTGGACATTCCTATTCATCACCACATCTGGACCTTATCTATTACCACCATATCTTTATTTTTGCGCTGTGCAGTACTGGCCCTTGTGTAGTTGAAGTGAACGATGTTTTTGCAGGGCCGAAATGTACTGTTGCTGGCCTGTGCAGTGGCCATGACAAGTGGCGTACGCTTGCGCACCGCGCACTATCAGCGTAGTGTTGCGTACGTGAGGACGGCGCTTCTGCTGTTGGCAATGGTGGTGGCGGTAGCCGGGATAGCCTATTCGCTGTGTTTCTACACCAACGCTCTCCCTTACTGCTCCATTCGATTCTAATGATCCTTCTCATAGTTATCTTCGTTCACTTCGTATTCCAGTGCTTCTTTAGTACATTGATCAGTCTTCACCGGCTTTCATGCGTTTTTGCATACATGTAAATGCAAAAACGCATATTGGCAAAAGGCGCTCTGCGTTTGTGTCTGTATGTTCGCACTTTTTGTCACACACTTCCAACTCAAGAACTAGAAAAGCTGGAAGGTTGGAACTTCGGAAATATGCGCCTATATCATGTTCGATCCTCCCGTTTTAATATCACCACTCGCGTAAGACTGGGAGCCGCGCCTTAAAGAAATATGTAAATTTTTTGGCGGAGAAATGATTTCGAAAAACAGAAAGGACAGAGAGCTGAGACTTTGTAGGAATATTCTCTGTGCATATGTTAATCAAAGATTTCAAATTCAGCTGATAAGATTGCTTGGTTCTCGTATACGAGCACGCGAAAGTTTTGTTGGGGAAACTGCTAACTCGGCAACCAGAAAAGCTGGAAGGTTGAAATTTTAAGGGTAAATCTTCGTCCACGTACAACTTAAAGATTTCAAATTCAGCCACTTGGTAAGTGTGGTACATACATGTGGGCATGCGAAATTTTAGGCGAAAAAATGCTAACTTGAAGACCAGAAAAGGTAGGAACCTGAAATTTTAAGGTAGTGTTCCCTAGTATAACTCAGATATTTTAAATCCAGCCTTCAGGTATGCATGTTTTTCACGTACGAGCATTTAAAAGTTTTGGCGGGAAAATTGCTCACTGAGCAGCTGTATTATTTTCAAAAAACGACCGCTAAGCGGAAACTGTTTATTTATTTTATGTAAAACTTACGATGGTTTACGCTAGTGAGCGGAAAAAGTAACCGTAAAGCAACAGTACTTCAAGTCTGGTGCAAAAACGCATGATCGCACTAGCAAGCCTGGTCATTCCAGCTTGGGTTTTTTTTTGCTGTGGCACATCCAGTGTCTCGAAAAAAAGAGTAATCTTAACCGATGTAGTCCAAAACCTAATGACATAGGAAACAGACAATGGCAGTTACCTGTGCGGTCTGTTTTTGCTATAAGCTGTTGCAGGAATTGAAAGTCGCAAGATTGTGAAGCTTGAAGTTGTAGAACTAGACTATGT